AAAAGCTACGGTGTAATAGCCCTCACAAAATTGCATACTTCGAGGTTACAAGGAAATCGTACAACGTTGCAACACAAACAGCGGATCCCAGGCGACTGTAGACAGCTCAGAAGTCGCAACGGAACATACCTAACCGCTGTACCTTTGACTTATAGACTCGCGGTAAGGATATCGTATGAGGTCCTTCCGTGGTCTTGAAGTATGCAATTTGGTGACGACTACTATAGATGTCAGCAAAAACATTGAGAAAAATAAAACAACGGAATATTCGTTTGTTGATGCCTTGTTACAAGATTGCAGGCCAAAAACTATAATTGAAATTAATAAGTTATTTATTTACCTACGCTGTCAGTAGCTCTAGCAGCTTCGAACAATTTATATTTAATAAATTTAAAAGGATATGGGAGGATCTAGTCATTGCCTAAGTTATTTATTTCATCATCTGCCTCAAAGGACTGAGGGGGAACTGCTCTAACCCTCAGTCAAGATACCCGACCTTCAGACCAAAATTTGAAATAGGAACCTGTAAATGAAACAACATTGTTGATCTCTCGGATGTCTTTCGATTATGCGACGAAGTTCAAATATTTCGGAAAAATGGCGACAAATCAGAATTACATTCACGAGGAAATGAGGAGCAGGTTAAATTCGATTCGTGCTTGCTGTGATGCAATTATACTCTCTGTCTTCTCGAATGCTATCTAAGAGCATAAAGATTAAGATATACAAAGCTGTGTTTTTACTTTCCATTGCAAGACTGCGAATGGATCCTCCCTTCTGAAAGCCAGTCGGTTTGGGCTGAGTCTCCCGGTAGAACACTCGAGATGGCAAACATTGCAAATGGGTGACCCATTCCATTTGATCTCCTACTTATCCAGTTTCCAGTGGTACAGGAAATGAACAACGATTTGATAAAGGCATGAGAGAGGAACAAGTGAAGGGGATAACGGGGGACACTACGTTTGTCAAAATGATGGGGGAATTATAAAATTTCCGGCTTTGAAATTTCGCAGTCATTTCCCACACATCCTTCTGGTAAAATTACGTATTTGGAGGTCAATTAAATGGATATGTGACAACAATTATTTTGAGTGCTATTAGTTAACTAATTTATTGAATTATTGGATATTAAATTTACTGCAGTTGTGCATGATTTTGGTATTTACATTCTGAAGGCTGCATGAGAAGTATGCAGATGTGATTTCAGATCCCGTACTTAGTTTGCTGAAAACAACCGGTTCCCTCCCAACCAACTTCAACACGCGAAAATTCTAAAGCTGTTAAATATAGTTCCTTGAGGTAAAACTTTATATCATATAATCAAAGGAAATGTGGTACTATTTGTGACAGTAAAATTAATCTTTTGTTATTATAGGTTAATAACACAGAAATATAAGTAGAGAGTTTCAAGAAATATGCATTCGTGAAGGGTATATATTTAGAAGAACAAACGTGGCTTACACCAATGGTACTCAACCAGTGAATTGGTGATTAATAACCAGAATCGTTTAATTAATGTTCCTTAAAAGTTTTATTTTGTTTTTATGTTATTATACCTCTTGAAATACAGCTTTTGGTAATTTTTGGCTTTACATCTTGTGAATATGATTCACACTGTAGACATGATCTGGGACAGCCCCCATACATTTCCATTAAGGTTTTTTGTTACCTGATCTAATAGCTTGGCTTGAAGACTTTCAGAAGAATTTATGTTAAAGAACCCTATTTGACTTCACATAGTAGCGAAGTTTTTGAAAAGAGAAACGTCTCCCAGCTAGTCAAGAATTTCTTTGATTTTTATGGTACACAAACATTTATTACGGAATTCACAGGAGATTGTTGTTTAGCCTTTTTATGATTCAGATGAATCTGATACACGTACGCACGCCTGTTTCATTATGGATAATTTTAATATTATCCTCCCATCCACGTCAAGGTTTCTCAAGTCACTTCTTTCGATCAGATGTTTCCACAAAGATTTTGTGTGTAGTTTATAACCCTTTCTTGCTGATGCATATCGCAACCATCTTGCCCTGCTTGCTTTAATGACCCTTCATAATACGCGATGAATATGAAGTCTGTAAATGTGCAGTTTCCTCAGGGCGACGCCCTCATGATCGAGGAAGCAGGTTAATTTCGAATGTCGGCATTCTGCCAGACTACACTGCACATCACTCCAGAAGACACCATAGTCATACTCGCCGCCGTGAGGACCTAAAATATTACCTCTGTGTGTCGGTTAATCTTCACTACGTTCTGAGATTTGAATGCCTTCGTTTTTACTCATCGTCCTGATGATGGAGACAGAAAATACCTTTGAAACGTCGATAGACGTCTATCAGACTACATCGTGCAAAACAACAGAAGACAAATCATATTCGAACCAGTAGCTGCCTTCCGGTTTACATCAAGTTCCGCCGAACCAACCCCATTCATGGAGACGTCTGACGTCATGACGAAAATTCAGAATGTAATATTTTATAATTTATTATTAGACGTTACCGGCAGTTGGAGGAATAGAAACTGGGGAATGAGTTTTGTTACTTATTATGTTTTCTTTATCGGTCTGTCCTTGATCGATTCTTCCTGCTTACGTATATTGCAGCCCCATTTTATACCCTGTTCTTTCTTTAAGACATGGTGTAAGCTTGGCATAGCGTGTGGAAAATTCGGTAATATATCCAGATAGTCACAGAAGTGGCATGTAATCAGCGAACATGGATATAACGTACAAGACCAACAAAATTGGTTTCATAATAGTACCGTACAGTTTCACTTTAGTAACTCGTTGATATATATAAAGCACTGAAATCACACTACTAGCACGCACGCATACACACACACACACCGAGGTTCTAGCCGTCCTACTAATACCATATGGAAAATTGCTGCATAAGAACTACTGATCTCAAGAACTGTAACAAATAACTTCTGTGTGTATTTGATCCGTTTATAGTTTTACCTTAATTTTGTAATAAATGCAGTAAGAATAATTTTGAAATTCAGAATGCGATACTGCAGCATATCTTACATTTTAGCTAATAAAATTTTACGATTATGAGTAATACGTATCAAAACGGGTTTAAACCTAAACGTTACGAATCTTTCAACTGTGAAACATACGGGAAATGATATCGATTCGTGAGAGTTTTTCTGGTTAAAAGACATTTATATTTATCTAACATCTTCTTCTTCATCATCAAATTCTTTGTCAGCCTTACAACTATCACTTACACCATCTGATATATGATTTCGATAACTCGTTCCGGCCTTATGTAAATGTCACCTCACTTATTTCAACAATGAAACTTAATAATTTACATACGCTGCTTGTTTTTTTTCTTTCTGTTGAAGTAATAAGATTGTTACATGGCAATGGAGACTTGCATTTTAATTGTAAATCTGACCAAGTGAATTTGGAAGAAATTTTGAAAATCGCCCTATGGTTTAATCCCGTTTGTGCGCAATTAATAGCGGTGGAACCAGGGTCACGATTTTGATCGATATGAATTCGATTAGACCTAGGCTTGCAGTAAGTTTCGACTAGCTCTTTCGATTGTAGTTTAGTTGTATTCATTTCGAGTGCTACTTATCTAAGGATTAAATTAACTGTAACGCAAATATGTTTAGTCTTTTGATTGCTTTCGGTAAAGCTTTATATATTTCTACGATATTTATTTTCATACCGTGTTCTTCTAGAATGTTACACCACGTAGTGTAGTAGTTGATTACCAACGTTTCGGTGGACCCTTCTACCTCCGTCATACGAGTGTTACACATATGCACACCCTTAATTCCGCTTAATCTGTTTTAGATCATTCACTGTCAAGTTATGTTTTATCCTAGATTTATCATTAATTTATCATCTTCCCACTTGTAATGCTAACTACTTAATGAACAGTCGACGTTATCAGCTGTTACTGTAAGCTCCACACTACGTAACGTCACAGCATTGAAGAGCAACTGATGGGTTGTCTGTTTTCCATTTATACGTCCGTCATAAGGATCTCAATACATATTTGATTATACCTACCAATAAGCTGTCATTTACAGTAACATATTTTATACATGAAATATTTAAATATTGTTTTAATTGTATTAATCTTTGTAATAGACAATGACGTAAATGCAATTGTCCCTTTTCTTTGCCCAAATTTTATCGTACAAATATATTATATAATAGGCCCCCCGACATCATAATATTGTTTGCTGTAAAAGTAATGTTTATAGAGCTTCAGGGAAATATGCGCTTTGCAGCGCGTTTGAAACAAATGTATATACATATTTATGTACAGGATGTGCCGAGAGGTTCTGCCAAACTCGTAGAAAATGTTCCTTGGGTTATTTAAGCCCAAATAATCAAACTTAACTCAGTCCGAAGTTTAATATTTACGGAGTTAATGTCCAGTTGTTTTGATTCCTACATTGATTTCTTGCAGATCCTGGGTTCGAATTTAGACATGTATATCCTCCTCTCTGACGGATTATTCGTAGTATTTATAGATTTTTTTAGATTTGCCAAAAATTTTCATTAGGCCCATTAATTATGACTAAAAAATATTCTCTCTTTATGAAAGATGCAACAGAAGATGAAGGAATATAATACAGGAATTTTAAGTACACAGAAAGATAAAGTCTATGGGATGAAGCGAGATAGATAGGAGATGATAGCTTGGAATTGCGGACAATGAGAAAATTGAAAGACATTTGAAGGAAATTCTTTATGCTGATGCTGAAATTGTTGCTTAAGGATGGTAGTAAATAATAATACATTGCCATTAAATGAAATGTAACGACGAGAGAATCTAATTCTTTTCCATCTTCACTATCTTTGGGGTCCTTGTGATTTAGTAGCCCCAGTCAAAGAGCAGAGTAAATTCCGGTCGGTGAACGAAGCAGCTCAGAGAGCAGCGAATGGTTGAATAAGAGGGGGTAAGAGAGAGAGAGAGAGAAATCAAATTGAATGGAAGTTGGCGTTCTAATACTTTCTATCATTTCAGGTGCTATTTCCAAATCCACTAGTGGGATTGAATGGAGAGTGTCTATAGCACCCCAAACTAAACTGTTCAATTAAGATGAGCTAGAAATTGAGTTGAGCTTCAAATATTTGACGCTGCAACAGGTACGTCTATCCATCTCGTAATTCAACAGCATTTCTGTAGTAATTATTTGTTTATATTTATAGTCTCGAATGAGAGGATGTGGAAGGAAACGGTCTTAGCCTAATTTAAAGTACTATCCAATAAATTACCTGGAGGATCCGGGTAAAACCACAAAAACCCTCAGTCAATGGTTTCCGGGCCGAGACTTGAGAATACGAAACACTCGACCACGAATTTTGGTGTAACAATTGTTCTTCGTCCATTTTGACTGATATCAAATCGCCATCACTTGGATTCTCCTAGTTCAAAATAAATACATTATATCTACTTTTAACAATTTTTTTCCCGCTTCGCATGAAAGGTGCAATCGTCCAGTCAAGCGTGACGAAAATTGGCTGTCGCATTAGGAGAAGATACTAGGATATTATACAGATTACACAAATATTCCTGTGAGCTCCAAGTCTCTAATGCAGATAGTCCAGTTTAGAGTGTGGCTTCTTTACTTCAGTAGCCCGCAGCTAGAGACACGAGTATATAATTAAGTACGATGCTCGTCTAAAGCAAAAGTACACTACAAGAGTAAGGTGGTACTTATGTCGCGTGTCTGCAAGACGCTGTAAGTTCAAGACGTTATAAAGTTCGCAGAGGTGTGTAAAGAATTACAGATTTTATTGCCCATAACGTTTTATTTATGATTAAAGTAAAGGAAACAGTTACTATCTTGGGTTTAGTAATTATGTAATATAGACTTGTTTCTAAAATTCTAACAGTGAAATTCTGCAGTTCATTTTCTGCATTTTATAAGACGTAGGCTATATCAAATAAAAACGCAGGCCTAATACTGATGTCGGACAGAGACATGGGCAAGCATAGGCAAAATATCAGTAAAATTCGGGGAACTTGAAGCATGGACTGTAATATCAGCTGAATGTTTACCGAACAATTGATTCGGGCTTATTAAATAGAGCACAAACGTCAGTGAAATTTGTAAAATCGGACAGAACGTATTTGTAAAGTATTATGTATAATCCGTTCTGTTATTAAACAGGATAGCCTGGGAATATAGATAAAACATGGAGAAGATTTGCACATAGGACTTTGGTGAATATCATAACTGAAGTTTTGTGGTTGTCCTCAGTCCGTTCATGCGAACGCTCGGATAATAGCAACAGGAACAGTCGCTTCTTTCCTAGTGAGTTCACAACGGAACTACAATTTAACACTATATGACTACTGCACTTGAAATAGCCTCGTTAAATAGCCAAGATCTAATCTGTCAGTTAAGGAATGAAATATGACAGAAAAGCACTGGAAAATATATTCTTCTTACCACGAGGCTACTGCTGCGCATTAATTTGCCATTTTCAAGGCGTTTGCGACAGACGCAGAATGTGGTACTTGTTGGAGAGATTAAAAATAATTAAAACTTTAGTTTCAAACTGAAGGCACGAAACTCCATGATCTCGAGAGACTTGGTTTTAGATTGGGAGATAATATTAAACTGAAGCTTAAATAAATAATGCAGCAGGTAATAAAGTGGTCTTAAACAAGAGCGGCAGACGGGCTCTTGTGGGTCCAACAATGAGTTTTCGGTTTCCAAACGCCCTGAAAATGTTCTGACCGGATGAGCGACTATTAGGTTCACAGCGTGGTTTGTGCTTCGTAGAGCCAGGAAGTATTCACTCAGATTTTCAAACTGTTAATTCTTTGAGAATATTTTCAGTTTTTATAAGCAATGCACATTAGGAAAGAAGATTTCTGCCTTCTGGGTTGTTGCGATGAATCGCCCTGATGACGGAGGCAGTATGACCTCTGAAACGTTGGTAAACATCGACCATACTACACAGCGCAACAACCCAGAAGACAGAAATCTTCATACTCACTGCTGTGAAAACCTCATCGCCCTGATGACGGAGGCAGTATGACCTCTGAAACGTTGGTAAATATCTACCAGACTACACAGCGCAACAACCCAGAAGACAGAAATCTTCATACTCATCGCCCTGATGACAAAGGCCGTATGACCTCTGAAACGTTGGTAAACATCTACCAGACTACACAGTGCAACAACCCAGAAGACAGAAATCTTCATACTCATCGCCCTGATGACAAAGGCCGTATGACCTCTGAAACGTTGGTAAACATCTACCAGACTACACAGTGCAACAACCCAGAAGACAGAAATCTTCATACTCATCGCCCTGATGACGGAGGCAGTATGACCTCTGAAACGTTGGTAAACATCGACCAGACTACACAGCGCAACAACCCAGAAGACAGAAATCTTCATACTCACCGCTGTGAAAACCTCAAATTATACATTAGGAAAGAACTTAATATTTTTAATGTAATCGACAAAATTGGACAATATATAAGAAAATTGATAGAACATGTTGAACAAGTGTCTGTAGAAAAACTTCCTAAAGCTGCATTCAGTTACAATCCTAGCGGGATAAGAGATCGAGGTAGACCACGAAGAAGATGAAAAGATAAATTTGAAGCCGGAACAGGCATTAGTTCCAAATCCCTGACGATGATGATGATGATGATGAAAAGCAATGAGGGTAATTCAATCATATTATACTCATTAATTATATCGCAGATAACAAATTGATAAAGTACATTGGAATATGATAAAATATTTGCTGTAGGTCTTTGTTCGTATCATTACAGTGACGTATTATTTCAGCTTCGTACCAGTCAAGATATTTATCGCATAGTTGCTGCGAATATTTCTTCAATTGTATCATCGCATTTATCTGTGCTTATTTCGTTTTATTGCTCTGTGCAGGTACGTAATCTACTTACAGAAGCATTGGAGTGTGTACGAAGTAAGTCTATACATTTCCACATAAATGTTTTACTCTTTCATCATTCGACGAATTCTATGTAATTTACATGTATAAATATGTATAGGCTATATATTTACTCCGCTTTGAAGGAAATTTAACCTGTAGTATACCTGATTTGTCAAGAGGATTGTGATGAAAGTGTTATAAGCATTGTCTGAATGTGACCACGTTTAGCATTGTGTACGGACAGTATATCGTTTGGAATTTGAGGCTCATAATCTGATTGGTACTTAAAGTGTAGTAGTTTTTCCAATTTTATTTATACTTGGGGAACACTTTGTTATACAGAGTGATTCAAAAGTTCCAGTGAGCCTGTAAGAACAAGTTTTGGAAGTGTTTAGGTGAAACATGTGTTTTGCAATGAAGGTTAATACACGGAAGAGGTCAGTCACAAGTTTTATGAAATGTGTCTCTTATCTCACGAACCACATCGCAGCACATTGCCGAGTTGATTAGCAATTTTAGGGAAATTGGACAAAAAGCTGTCGAGTCGAAATCTAGAAGACCACGCGTTTTAACAGAGAACAAAGTGTACCGGAAGTATAATTTCATAAAAGCCTGTATAGGCCTATTTGATATGGAATAATCAGGCTAAATTTGCGTACTGCGATTATAAAATGTATAAATGATAACAACAAACTTACGTTATTATTTCACACAAAAAACTAGGCATACATGATATTTGGCTTTAGTAAAATAATAAAATAAGCAAGTAAATTGAGCGACACACTTCTACTGTTAACGCGGCACACCAAAGCGAAGGTCTAGCGCGTAAGTGCCAACCTCCACCTTTTTAAACCAGCGTGTGTCTTTACTCTCTCTACCTTCGACCTTAAGCAACTTTACCAAACGTGTTACTGAACGTTGTTCAGTCGAAGAGGAGTTTCATTATGTCACTTGTTGGCTTACAGATTAATTAAATCATCAAGAAAAATAGCAATTATTTCAAATATGAAAATATATTATAGCTGTGGGTTTGGGCTGCCTTCAGCTGGTTCAGAATGGTGGCTGGTGGTGTGTGTACGGTAAGGACTTTTCGATTTCCACAATGCACGGGAAATTCCTTGATTAGATCAGTGACTATTAACCAGTGGATTGTGATCTTCTGCCTTGTTACGACATGTCGGAGGATCTTATTAAGAATGTATCGAGATTTGTTTAGATGAAACATCAGTTCTTGTTATGGTTGTAAAAGGAAACACGAGGCATTAATTTTCAGCTCGACTTCTTATTTTCACCAGAGAGGCCGATTTAAACTGGGCACCGAAATATTCGCTGTCCATACAGGAAATCAAACAGAGACCGTCATTTGGTTGCAGAAGTACCCAGACCCACTGCCGAGTACAAGAGTCGGTCAGTGTGTCATTTACAGAACTTTCTGACGGGAACGTTTCCTTGAAGTTGTGAAGATTTCTCTGCTGTCCTTATTTCATATCCTTTTAATTTAATTAAATGGTTCATACAGTTTTATCATTCTGTAGTCTGTCTCCTTGCAGTTACACTGTATTTTGTTGTGTCTTATAGTTTTGTTGTGTCTTATTGTTTTATTCTGTCTCATAGTTTTGTTGTATCTTATTGTATTGTTGTGTCTTATGTTTTTTGTGTCTTACTGTTTTGTTCTGTCTCATTGTTTTGTTGTGTCTTATTGTTTTATTCTGTCTCATAGTTTTGTTGTATCTTATTGTATTGTTGTGTCTTATGTTTTTTGTGTCTTACTGTTTTGTTCTGTCTCATTGTTTTGTTGTGTCTTATTGTTTTATTCTGTCTCATAGTTTTGTTGTATCTTATTGTATTGTTGTGTCTTATGTTTTTTGTGTCTTACTGTTTTGTTCTGTCTCATTGTTTTGTTGTGTCTTATTGTTTTATTCTGTCTCATAGTTTTGTTGTATCTTATTGTATTGTTGTGTCTTATGTTTTTTGTGTCTTACTGTTTTGTTCTGTCTCATTGTTTTGTTGTGTCTTATTGTTTTATTCTGTCTCATAGTTTTGTTGTATCTTATTGTATTGTTGTGTCTTATGTTTTTTGTGTCTTACTGTTTTGTTCTGTCTCATTGTTTTGTTGTGTCTTATTGTTTTATTCTGTCTCATAGTTTTGTTGTATCTTATTGTATTGTTGTGTCTTATGTTTTTTGTGTCTTACTGTTTTGTTCTGTCTCATTGTTTTGTTG